GAACCTGAGTCAGCTTGGACAATTCCCCTGCCAGGTAATCAATTGAAATAGATGTGTTTTTTTATAAACATGTTTGACTAACATGTTCTATAGACATAAATTCAGTTAGAATACCAGAATTCACGGATAATAACAATCGCAATGATGAATTAGAAGATGCAAGGTAAAGAAACATGTAAGCTTAAACAGACATAATTCAAAAATTGAAAACTTACGTTTTTTTGCATTGAATCAGTTCTGTTGATGTGAATTTTCAATTACCTATAGGATGGGTGTTGAAAAGCAATCAAAAATTAGGAGGGAAAGGAAGGGAGAAAAGAATGAAAAAGAAGGTGAAGGAGTTGTCGAAGGGTTTTTTTTTTGAATGGAAATCTCAACCAAAAGGATAAAATGTCGGCAAAGGATATGTATAATGAGCTGATGACATTTGTTGAATCTGGTGAATTGGAAGCTGAAGATGTCCCTAAGATAGCAATGATACAAAACTGGATTTCAGCTTATACACGAACATTTAAAGAGCAAGCTACAGAAAATATGGTAAACAACATACTATAGTATAGTATAATAAGCAGATCTAGTAAATATTGGTAATACTCAATATATTAAGATAAAAAAATAAAAAAAAAGGCTAAATTAAAACCAAAAAAGGTTTAAAAACTAAATAAAAACCTAAATTAACTCATTTTTTGGTTGAAATTGTTGAAAAATAAATTGTCTAAAATAAAGCTCCGAACGGTTCGGGCTAAACCGGGGAACTGATCCGAAACCGTCTCAAAATTCGGTTCGGTTCGGTTCGGGTATTAGAACCGAAAAACCGGCGGTTCGGTTCGGTTTAATCTGATTTTTTATAAAAATGCGAAAAATCGAATAGCCGGCCATCTAGTGATCGTAAAAAGTCGAGCCATATATCATTGGATTCCTCGCGACGAGACGCGTCGAATGGTGGTAAGACCATGTCTCTAGCATCGATATATCACACGTTAACCCACGCTAAATGATTTATAAATAATTTGAATTAGCAAGCTATCTATCGGTGCTAGAGACATGATCTTAGCACCATTCGACGCGTCTCAGTGCGACGAATCCAATGAATATAAATTCGTTCGTGTACGACCACTAGATGGCGAATAATATCAAGTTTCGCATTTTTTTTAAAATTTTCGAGCGTTAAAAATTAAAAATTCCGATAC